ACTTCCAGCATCTTGAAAATCCAAAGTAAATAAATCTGCGCTGTCTGAATGATCAATATTAGAAGCAGACCGAGTTCCAACGCCAAACATAGATTCATCAATTCCTGACATCGCCCTCGAGTCGCCCGAGGTGTTGTCCACTGACCTTTCTTGAATTTTTTCAAGTCTTGATGCTTGGTCCCGCAAATTTTGAGGTTTTAGTCCAAGGTCTCCATATCCTTTAGCGTCCCATAGGTTTTTCATAATCTCTATGTATCCCTTTTTCCTTCCAATCCCATTAACTGGGGCTCCGCTGGATGTTATAATAATAATAATGATAATAATAATAATAATAATAATAATAATAATAATAATAACAATTATAATAATAATAATGATAATGGTATATAATTATAATAAATAATGATAATAATAATATTAAAAGAGATTTATTTAGCTCCAGTATCGCCAGTATGTTCAAAGGCGCCTTACAATATCAGCGAAAATCTAAAACTAAACTAAAAATTAAAAACATTAATTAGTTTGAAATAAATCGCAAAAAGGCGTTTTTTAAAAGCAACGTTTTGAGTTTTTTAAGACGAACTATTTCTTATTTTAAATGGTAGAGCATTCCATAGCGTAGGTGCTGCCACGTAGAAGGATCTTAAGCCATATGTTTTCCAGTTGTAAGAGGGAGCCGGGGTCGGGGGAGAACACTCTGCGACGCCTGACACTTTTTGTGTATCTATTGTAGATCATCCAATGAAAAACAACGTCACATCAGGTAAAATGCGGGCTGAGGGGCAAAATCAAATTTGAATATGGCATAATCCTTCTCTTAGTAAGTAAAATGGCAATATTTCGCAATCGGCCGAATATTTTTAACGTTTTATTTGACCACGATAAACAAAATTCTGGCTTCTTCCTCGTCATGCATATCAGTTTGTTTGAAGAACAGGGTAATTATGTATTCAAAAACACGTTGTGTTGAAGGCCTAGGCGTGTTTTGATGCCGTCATTTCTTTGTCGCGGAATTCCACAGAAGTCATCGTTTGCGTGGAAATAATGAGTTTAAGGTAAGTTGCACTCAGTTCAAATATCTTATTCCCTTAGGTAGGCATTACACTGGGGGAAACTATTTAACAAAAGAGCATTTTTTCGAATTTACGTTGCCAAACACTCGAGAGTACTTGAGAGCTGTAAATCGTATCGCTTCAAGAATAGACCCACGTACAAAACGGGCTTTGCGGAACACTACACAAATTCATGTTTTTGAAGGTGGAAAAAATGGGGGTACCAATCACGCATTACGCTGAATTTTTCTATTAAATCACGCATAACGGAAATTTTTTCCAACCAATCACGCGTCACGTAAAAAGAAGTAAGTACATCGCCAATGTAGGCTGTGTGTAGGTATATGTGGGGAATTAATGAGATGTAAACTGTGTAGGTATATTTGGGGGATTAATGAGATGTATGGTGTGTAGGTATATGTGGGGGATTAATGAGATGTATGGTGTGTAGGTATATGTGGGGGATTAATGAGATGTAGACTGTGTAGGTAAATTTGAGGCATTAAAGAGATGTAAGCAGTGTAGGTATATGTGGGGGACTAATGAGATATAAGCTGTGTAGGTATATGTGGAAGATTATTAAAATGTAAGACTTGTAGGTATATGCAGTGGATTGATGAGACGTAGGCAGTGTAGGTGTACTAGGGGATTAATGAGATGTAAGCAGTGTAGGTATATGTAGGGGACTAATGAGATGTAAGCTGTGTAGGTATATGAGGAAGATTATTCAGATGTAATATGAGTAGGTATATGTAGGGGATTGATGAGATGTAGGCTGTGTAGGTATATGTGCAAGATTATTGAGATGTAAGATGTGTAGGTATATGTGGGGGATTAATGAAATGTAGGCTGTGTAGGTGTATGTAGGGGATTGATGACATGTAGGCTGTGTAGGTTTATGCAGGGGATTAATGAGATGTAGGCTGTGTAGGTATATGTGAGGAATTAATGAGATGTAGGTAGTTTAGGTATATGCAGGGGATTAATGACATGTAGGATATGTAGGGGATTAATGAAATAAAGGTTGCGTAAGTATATGTGGGGGATTAATGAGATGTAGGCTGTGTAGGTATATGTGGGGGATTAATGAGATGTAGGCTGTGTAGGTATATGTGGGGGATTAATGA